CTCTATGCTGTTAGGAAATCTCGCCTTATGCGGTTCTTTCATTTAATTTATTTATTTAATTTTTTAAATCTTATAATTCCACATAAATAAAACCAGTTACCTAAACAATTTATCCTTTATGAATTTAAAATCTGTGAATGTAGAATTTTAACTGAAGCAAGTTTTATCTGTGTGAAAATAGCAAATCTTTTGTATCTAATAACTTAGAGACACAGCAGAAACCAACACTGACAAAAAATTAAGCCCCATTTTAAACCTTATACTGGAACTCTCATTATAACCCTCTTTATTTTATTTATTTGTTGATTTATTTATTATTATGTCGTGACCATTCATACAGCATATGCCATAAGGAAAATACATTGAAAGACCAGCAATGCGAGCCTTATTCAAATGAGCCTGCATTGACTTTAGTACCTTTAAGAACTCTGTAATTTGTCCCTCATCCCTTTGCGAAACTGAATTACTTGATTAAAACTGGTAAAAGTTCAGGGACTTGAAGTTGCATTTCCTATTTTGAGGCTCACTTTCCCTGATGAGAAAGATAACTCAAAGGAATAAATGTTAATTTACTAATAATTTTGACAAGTTTTTTTTTTTTTTACAGTGCTTCAATTAGCCTATAAATTATTATTTATTTCATAGTCTTTTATTTGTAGAATTATATTTAAATACCTAAAGATTTTCTTCTTGTATAAGTCTTAAAGAACATTGTCAGGAAATAAAAGCCTGTGCTGAAATTAATCTGTGTGAATTATCGACATTTGTGAAATAATCTATATAATAAATTTAGTAAAGTAAGTTTACCTGATTTTTCATGTTAACTTAAGATAGTACAAAACTTTTCATTTACTAAACACAGCTATATAAAATACAAGGCCTTTATGCAGTTAAGGGGTGAGAAGTCATTAAATGTATGTGTCTTTATTGTGTTATCATGATATCATCAAACCTACTCAAAAAAGGTACAGGCCCTGTTAGAAAAATTCATAATTATGTTCATATACACTGAAGACGGCTTCAAAATGAACAAACAGCCTGACCTTCATTTATTTCCTTTATTTATAACTTTAACCAAACCAAAATGTCAACACAGAATATATAATATGTGAAACAAGCCTTTGACCCCCTCTTACTTAATCTGAACACTTATATATACATATATTGACCAGCAAAATAATAGCTAGACTTGCTAGATAATAGATATCTACATGTACTTAATTAAAATAAAATTCGGGGAATCCTATCTATATAAACTAGTGAACCATTGAGGCCCTAAATTACTATGCACACATTGTTATTGTTCTGGTTGAGTCTGAAGTTGTCCCCCATTGTCAAGCCCCCTAAGAGAAGAGATATCCAAATAGATGAGGATGCTGCTGGTCCTAATATAACTATTAATATGTAGATTTGACAGACAATGTACAATTCAACTCGGGTGCATCAAACCTATGCCCCCAGCTTTTACAGCCTGAATTGTTCATTGCAATGCTTCCATCCAACTGAAATTTTTTGACTCAAAATCTATTTAGTCATCATTCATATTTACTTACCTTGAGTTTTGTCATAGCATGTGTACATGTACAACTGTAAATAAGTATAACTATAAACAATACACATCTTATTTCATGTTAAATTCATATACATAAAATTGCATTAATTGTCATATAACATTCAAAAGCACCACAACTTCAATTACTTGTTCTTTATTTTACTTCGAATTATTTTATTTCACAATTGATTACTGCCTTTGTTGCAATTCCATACCTTTCATGCCTCTCTTTGGACCATTGTTAAAGTTGAATGGCCTTGATTGAAAATTTATATCCTTTATTTAGAGTTCTGTTCCTATGTGAATTGGGGTAAATAACATTTCTAAAGACATGATACCATAGCTTTATCAAACTTTAATTAATTCTCAATCTGTATGTTTTCTATTATTCACTGTTTTAAGGAAAAGGGTTTTTTTTTTTTTTTTTTTTTTTTTAAATGTCACAAAATATTTTGAATAAACTGATAAATAAAACAAGCCCAAAGTTACAAAACCATACTCATATTTCAAGAATTAAAACTATGTATATTCCCATTTCTAAACCCCCTAAAGATAGGACAAGGGACCTAAGTATCTAAATATAGGCTACCATATGTACGGTTGACCAATGACCTTGAATAACATGGACCGAATATAGTTGAAGTTCAGACCTATTTTTAGATTAGCTCATTTTGTTTAAATAATATTTCACCAAGTACACTTTTCTTCATTCAAAATATACTGATGAAGTTGTTTATTATTACCATATTTGTATAACTTGAACCATGTGCCAGTGTTTAAAGTATGGACGGGAGGCAAATCGATCTGTTTCAATCCAATGAAATGTTTGCCATCGAGCAATATCAATGTTGATAAGATAATCCATTTTAATTCTTTGACTGAAAGTTAACTTTAAAAACTGGAAATTATGATAAAATATTTCATAATACAGAAAAATAAATCGGATACTTTCATCACCCACCTTTCACTTTCATTGATGCATAGAAAAGGGGAGATAACCCGTAAACCTAGTGACTACGTACTGACCCTGTATGGATGGATAAATAAATTCCGGCTTATCTCATTTATTCGATTTTTCACAAAAAGGAGGTGAATGATGACATATAATTAAAGGATAGAGCTTTGATAACGACGCATATTGTGAGATGAACTCAAATATGCGGTATTATAAATAAAACGCCAGTCAGCATTTGACTTAATGATAAATTGTACTTACTGAAAAAGTCATTGTATCGACCATGGAACTTAGAAAATGATGTCTTTAAACGAGACTGCTTATATTCTTGTTTCATCAACTTGTTTGTCAATAATTTACCTCGTTTTAAGAACTGTTTATACGTAGCACATGCGCTTGCGTAACGAATCAACTGAGAGATATAAACCACGTATGCAGGTGATGAAGGTTTATTTTAAGCTTGGTTGTTAGATTATCTTTTATGTCCCTTTAAATAAAATGTCTAAATATGAAACATAATTGTCACACTCTGTGGATGGTATCTTTTATTTCAAGCTCACCGGGGTATATCGTATCAACATTAGAATGGAAATAGCCGTGTTATTTGACAATACAACGTCGATATATGTACTTAACAGTCGAGTTGAAGGCCAATGCAAGTGTTTCTTCTTATAAAGTATATAATGTTGAAGAAAGTCCGCATCATATGAATACAAAAAATAGGTCTGCTAATAACAGGGCCCAATTTGTACTCATTTGAATTCCAAAAGACTGTTTGAAGACAGTTCTAAAGTCTTTTCTTCTTTTCACGTATAAGATTTTGGAGAATTTCTGCTTCATATGAATGTCTAAAAATAGGTCTGCTAACTTTTCAACAACTAAAAAAAAGAGGTGGATAAACTGAAATGACAGCTGAACAGGGAAGTGAATGAACCAGTAAGATCTATCTGACGTACGGGACAGGCTATACAAGTATTTAGACACAGAATGTCAAACTGAGCTTTTGATAGCTGAGATCAGTGTTTTTTCGCAAAAAATATCACTATTGCACAGTAATTGCTAGCGCTCTCGAGCGCTGGCAACTACGTTAGTCCAAATGCCTTGAATACGCATGCTCGGCTTCACGGTCGTGCATTCTGGGAAAGCTGTGAAAACTACCATAGATAGACCGTACGATAACAATTTCGTTGTATCATATTGGGGCATTAAATAATTATGTTTCTTTATTGTGTAGCTTACATTTTAAAGATAACTAGTTTAATATTTGATAATATTTGTAATACTTCAAATTTTCCGGTTTTTTTTTCTGAAGGAAAAGCCTTGTCATATCGTCTGATTGTTCTAAACAAAGACAAAAAAGGGTTTTTTTACGACTTAGAACAACCAAATAAAGACTTTAATTTCTGATTGGTCAATTCAGCTTAGCTTACACATTCCAGAAACAAGAATGTACACTATAAAAGTAACGAATAAATTCATTATTTATATTTTTAAAAAATCTGATGTGTATGGCTTTTAACCTAACATTTCTTGACAAAGATGACCCAAAGGACCAAGCTACTTCACATTCGGAACTCTCTAGATTTCTTTAGAAAACATACACTTTTGAGTTATTTTCTATATTCCCTTTTACTCCCGAGCCCCTGTATTTTTTCGTTGCTACATTGCCATTCTATTCTTAAACCAGCCCATACAATGCCCCAATCGGCATCTTCTCTATATTATATAGAGCCCCCCCCCCCTCCAGTAAAGGTCATAAATGTTCTGTTGCGCCAAAACTTCAATAGATCATCACAAAACCCCCCATGCGTTTCTTTAGCTATGTGTCTATAAAATACACTTCACAAAACAATTATAACTTTTTCACTCTTCAGCCTCGATAAAAATTAAAGAATTCAGCAAAATTAATCTCTTGATCACGGATCCTCCTTTCTGTGTTTAAAAATTGCTACGGCGCTAGCTTACCTAATATCTTTTTTTTAAAAGATAAACTTCTAATAATTGTTAAAGGAATGGTTGGTGTTACCTTGGATAAGACAAAAAATATATGGTTGAACACTCTATTAATAATTGTAATTGATAAATCTGTTTTGAAATACCATATAAACACTGAACAAAAAAGAGATGAATCAGAGTCTGTTTTATTTTATACGGCATATATTGAAGAGATGTGTTAACCTGTCCATTGAAAACAGTCCCTTCCAGAATTGGTCTTAAGGAGTCTTTTTGTAAGTATATTATCCTTCTCCACACAGTGAAATCTTATAAACGTTATGCCACCTTCTACACAAAAAATACATGTACATTTTCCCCACGAAATACACAAAATCAAGTTGTTTCGTTGTTATTTAATTTCTTAATTTAAGGCAATCATTTGTAAGTCTGTATTTCTAAAATATAGTAATAGATGGGTACATAAAGGTGTTCATTCCTAAATCAAATCCTTTTTCACTTTATACAAAAGTTTATGAGTTGTTTTTTTTTTTAATTTAGAAACAAAAATCGCAGTGTCAAATATGGAACCTAGAGGACACAGTTGATGATCTCGAACAATATGGTAGGAGAAATTCACTGAGATTTCACAACTGTCCTGTACCAGGAGAAGGATCGGATACGGATAAAACCGTCATCGACATCTGTAAACAACGTCTAGCAATTGAACTCAAAGATGATGATATCTTCAGATCACACCCAATAGGGAAACCAAACAAAGATGGTAACATCCAAATCATCTGCCGCTTCAAAAACTGGAAGATTAAAAACAAAATCTATTTGGCTAAACGGAATCTCAAGAAATCCGGCATCTTCATTACAGAAGACCTGACCAAATACAGACAGGGTATAGTGAAGGAACTAGCGAGTGCTAAAAAAGCTGAAAGAGTTCATTCTTTCTGTACCAGTGATGGCAGAATCTTTACCAAACTGTATGACAAAGGTCATAAATATCTAATTCGCTGTATTAAAGATCTACACGATCTTGCTCCACCTCAGTGGACATCATCTGACCCTGAAGCTGAAACATCCGACAACCAGTATTAGTGAACTCACTGTGTACCTTTTGTCACAACATGTTCAAAATAATTGATTTGATCACAGACTCACTATCAATATTAAATTAAAAATTACACTCAATAAATAAATCCTTATCTCTCCTTTTGTCACTCATTATAGATTATGACCGCTGTTTCTTGCAGAGTCGTGTATATAGTTTTCATGCTGTTTTTATTTAGCAGCTTTGCCCATATTCATTTTGTTTTTTTCCGTGACACACACCTGTCACTTTTGTTCTCGTTGTTAACAGTTTTCATTCCCAACTTGTTTCCTTTATTTTTGTATATACATTTTCATTTGTTGTTTTTGTTTTCTTATTATTTTTACTTCTTATATACTGGTCACAGTTTATCCTACATGCATTCAGAAGATTTTGATATTTGTCATTATTTGCGGCTCCGACATTCAACGTTTATTCTTTGTTCAGAAATTTTAGCTAATGGCAGGTAACACAGTGTCACAATATCGAGCCGCAATAGGAATCTATTATTCAAAAACTAGATGCACAGTAAAATCAATGTTATTTTGTATATTTGATTTTAGAAAAGTATTTTCGTACTTATTGCAACTGTATAATTATTACGTACACAGGTCCAAATGTATAGCAAACCAGATTATGAAAAGCTCTATCCATGTGATTTTTTGCCTGCAAATTATACATTTTCTATTATTATTGTCAGGCGACATTGAAACTAACCCTGGTCCGATTGGTGCTTCAATACATAGTTTAGATATTTTTCATCTTAACATTAGGAGTATTAGAAACAAAATAGAAAGTTTAACTACTTATGTAACTGACTTCGATATCTTATGCTTTACAGAAACACATTTGGACTCTAGTATAAGTAATAGCGAACTTTCAATTGAGGGATTTAATACAATATTTAGAAAAGATAGGAATTCGCATGGAGGGGGAATTCTTGTTTATATATCAGAATCTCTTCGAGCCATTAGACGTGATGACCTTGAACCTATTTCAATAGAATGTATCTGGTTAGAAGTGTGTGTACCCACCTGTAATTTTCTTCTGTGCTGTGTATATCGTCCACCAAACAGTAGTAAATCCTTTTGGGATAATCTTATATGGTCTATTGAAAAAGCTTCTGATATTTCCAGTAAATTAATTTTAATTGGAGATCTTAATGTAGATTTTTTTAACATTCCTCGAACACACATTATAAATGAAATTCTGTTAAAATACAACCTCACTAACACTATCCATGAAGCCACTCGTATCACGGGCTCGTCGAACACACTTATTGACCCAATTTTAGTCAACCCAGATGTGTCAGTTCTTCACTCAGGCGTGTTAAATACAGAAAGTACAATCAGCGATCACAAAGCGACATACATTTTCCTCAAATCTACTGTTAATCTAAACCAATCTTATGAACGCAAAGTGTGGGTATATAAAAATGCAGACATGGACAAACTAAATTCACTCATTGAAAATACCGATTGGGTGAATCTCATTTGTAATGCACAAAATGTTGATCAAGCAACGGAAAACTTCTCTTTGACATTTATGAATATAGTTAGACAAAGTATACCTGAAAAATCTGTTATTATACGTCCCAAAGATAAACCATGGTTTGATTCTGCATTGCGCAAAACTCTTCGAACAAAAAATAGACTTAAGCGAAAAGCCCAAAAAAGTAAAAAAGAATCTGACTGGACAAATTTTAAACAAGTGAGGAATAAGTTTAATAATATGAAAAAACATGCAATTGAAAATTACAATAATAATCTAGAATTACACCTTACAGATGCTAGCAAAAACAACTCGAAATTATACTGGAAAATTCTGAAGGATGTTTTTAAAACCAAAACTGCCTCTGATATTCCACCATTACAATATACATCTGAAAGTGGTCGTACAGATATTGCTTATTCAAACGAAGAAAAAATAGATGCACTTAATAACTATTTTACATCTGTATCATGTGTTGATGATAGTGGGTTAGAATTACCTGAGGCATATCATGTATGTAACAGTGAAATTAGTAGTGTATGTATTACTGAGCAAGAAATAATTGATATTGTAACTATACTTCCTACAAACAAAGCTATTGGACATGATAATATTAGTCATAAGATGTTAAAATCAGCAAAGTTCACTATTGCTAAACCTCTTTGTTTATTGTTTAATAGATCTCTAAATGAATGTATTTTTCCTTCTGCATGGAAATTAGCAAATGTACTTCCTGTGTTTAAAAAAGAAGATCCTTCTGTGATGTCTAACTACAGACCAGTGTCATTGTTGAGTTGTGTTGGTAAAATCATGGAAAGAGTTGTGTTTAAATATATTTATAATTATTTTCATGACAATAATCTTTTTTATAAATACCAGGCTGGTTTTTTACCTGGGCATTCAACAGTATATCAGCTGATAGAAACATATGATAATATTGTAAAAGCTATTGATGATGGAAAATTTTGCTGTATGATTTTTTGTGATCTGTCAAAAGCATTCGATCGTGTTTGGCACAAAGGTCTTTTATTTAAGCTTAAGACATATGGGATTAATGGTAGTTTGTATAAATGGCTTGAAAATTATCTGAATTGTCGATACCAAAGGGTGATGCATCGTAACTTATTGTCAACACCCAAACCCTTATATGCTGGTGTTCCCCAGGGCTCAGTTTTAGGACCACTTTTGTTCTTAATTTATGTTAATGATGTTGCTGATAATATGGTTACTTTTTGTAGATTATTTGCTGATGATAATTCTTTGCAGCATTCGTCTCATAACATGAAAAGAATTGAAAGAGACTTAAACAAAGATTTAAATGCTCTGGAACTATGGTCTAAAAAATGGTTATTGAAATTTAATCCCTCTAAAACAAAAGTAATACTGTTTAGCACAAAGAAAAATATAGAATATCCTAAGCTTCTTTTTCAACAATGTGAATTAGACTTAATTACTGAACACAAACACCTCGGAGTACTATTTTCACACGATGCCAGTTGGTCACCACATATTGATAATATACTGTCTATTGCTTACAAAAAATTGTCTCTTTTGAAAAAATTAAAATTTAAAGTAAATCGAAAAACACTCTCACTCATGTATACATCATTCATAAGACCGCAACTTGAATACGCTTCAGTTGTCTGGGGGTGCTGTCAACAGGGTGATAGTGATAAGTTAGAAAAACTTCAACTTTATGCAGCTAGAATTGTAACAGGATTAACAACTATAGCTTCCAAAGATTCACTTTATTTTGAAACGGGATGGGAACCGCTTAGTTGTAGAAGACAAGAAGCTAGATTAAAAACAATGTTCAAACTTCATAATAATTTAGTGCCAGAATACTTAATGGACATCCTTCCAAATATGCGCTGTAACACATCTATCTACTCGACAAGAAATTCTCAAAATTATGATATTCCAAAGTGTCGATTACAAACTTATAAATCTACGTTTATTCCCACTGTAGTCAACGAATGGAACTCCATTCCACTTGAAACTCGAAACTTACAGTCAATGTCGAAATTCAAATCTAAAATTAGTAATAAAAAAACTAAATCTGCCCCACCTTCTTACTTTGATTATGGTAACAGAAGACTTAATGTTCTTCAAACCAGACTACGACATAATTGTGTATTAAATAACGACCTTTATAGATGCAATTTAATATCAAGTCCCTTGTGCACGTGCGGTAAAGTTGAGGACACATATCATTATTTTTTCGTATGTCCAAAGTATGCGAACGCCAGGAACGAATTTTTACATAATTTTTTACAATTTGATACAATCCACATACTAGATACACATGTTTTATTATGGGGGGTTGAATCACTGAGTGCTGCAGAGAATGAACATCTCTTTTCTTTAGTTCAAACATTTATTAAGCATTCTGGTAGATTTCCTTGTTAATTACTGTACCAATATTGATATATGAATTTAACTTTTATATATTCATACATATATGCAAAATGCATCATTTTGTTTACTTTTGCAAATTCTGAATACTTTATATAGCATGTTTAACTGTGACAATATAAATGTGTAATTTACATGTATAGGGAGAGGGCGTTATAAGTATTCAGTACTTGTGCTCAATCCCTTTGTAATTATATTACAATAAAATATGTTCAAATCAAACAAAAATCATTCCTTTGTAAAAATCTAATTCAAATGTTACAAAGATAAAATAGATTTGGATTTTTCAAAGATATTAGTTTTAATGCTTTATAAATATCCAAAAGTTAAAAAAATATTATTAAAAATTAACACGAAAAACAACCTTTTTTTAATATTTTCCTTTGACATTGGAAACTGATTTCTCACTTTGTAATAAAATTCCTCTTTTGCCGCTGTTTACCGATAATTAATAGCGTTTTGGCGATGACATCATTGATTTAGTGTTTTAGTGTTCATAATTAGGCAATTATAATCACTTCTTCATTCTCCTTGCATAAAATTAAGCAATTCATTGGAGATCATCGCTCTCTATATTCGTGCGTAGGTATAAAATGGCGCGTAAAACGTCGGGTATACTGAATGACACGGGTATTTATCACATTCAGACTGTCACCTTCATTGAAAACAGATCTTTTAATGTTTAAATCGTGAATTCTGTGTAAAAATAATAGTCATTATTTTGTTAAGTGTAATTTTAAAAAGATATAAATACTGTATAAATATTATCAGTCACCTTTAAAACATCTTCAGACGACACAAACATGGTAAGTTTTTTTTACATTTTAAGGAGGCTAGGGGGTCAAGGGGGTCAACAAATTAACCGTCAGATATTACTTAGTTTCTTAGATATGATATCTTAAGCTGTCGACTATCATTTGGCAAAGAAAAATTTCATAAAATTTAGTTTTAAAATTTGCTCAATTTTCTTCATCTCCCTATGGATAGTCTAAAAATGGCGATAATCCCCCTGTCCTCTTAATTGTCCACATATAGTTTTCCCTTTAGCATACAATGAATGAAAATTGCTCCAAACGAAGCTTCTGAAGGAAATATTAATTTT